GTAATTGCACCGAGTGCCTCGTAAAGCGTGCATTTACATGGGACGCGTACACAGCCTGTAAACAACGTACGCGATGGAATGCCGCCTGACGTTCAGCTCGGTGAGCAAACTTTTCTACTAAAGTCGTCGACACATGCACACACACCCAAAGCGTGCATACACGATCGCCATTTGCTCGAAGTTTGCCTCGATAGCCAAACCCCCGTCTTGTTTATGCGAAATATCTACACGTATGTCGCTCGATCGTATTACCTTAATTCTGAATCTTTAAAGCGTACAGCTTATCTGCCAGTCGCGAATTTACGTTCGCTATTCAATAGCGTTGTGCACCGAAATTTATGATCTCGTGACTATGAAAGGATTCTTGAGCTATTCAGGAAATTTCTGCGAGGGAAAAGAAGAATGGCTCGTGTTATCCGTCGTATTCGCTGTAGCATTCTTCGCGGAAGTGGGCCGGAGTGTGTGTAGCGAACTACCTAAAGTAATATTTGCGACCTTAACTTGCAAGCTTAGGAGTTTAACAAACTTTGCCAGCTCAAACTTGGTCTAAACGCTATATGGAAGCTAGGAAATTCTCGAAAATAGGTCTCTAGGCTAGTTCGAAAAAAACGAGTGGAGAGAGTTCGAGAGGTGTTAGGAGGCTGAGACGATTACGCGTCAGGTTGTCGCGGGTGGAGAACGCTGTTTGCACGCGACGTCGCAGAATTACGGGCGTAAGCAGCGCTAGGCGAGTTTCGAATCGCAGGCCAACCTGTCAAAACAATGCCATTTCTCACGCCGTTATGCGCGGCCCATTTAAGAGGCTACGCCAGCAACGCGCTCCACTTCTCGACGCCTCGCTCCATTTCACCCCCGATGGTGCCTTTATCTCGCGGGTCCGCAGCGAACGATTCGATCAAATAATTCACGCTCGTTCTTACCTTTATTGCTTCTCCCTCGTTTGTCCCTTGGTCGATTAGGGAATGTAGTGGAGTATTGCTGAATATTGGCAAACAAAGGGAAAGAGGATCGGAAAGGCGCGGTTATTGACGCCGAAACTTCTCAGGGAATAAATCTTCATGGCGTGCACACCGCGTTAAGCCCGTGTTCGAACTTAATCCGTAATTTAAGTTTCCCGGTCATGGGGCACAGATGTATCGATTCCACATTGCCTTAACGATCGGAACTCCGAACAAACGTATTATTTGTTATGGCAATTTACTTTGATAAGACTTTATGGCGTTTGGTGCGAAAGTAGAAATTGAGTCCATGGGCCTTTCGTCACTGGGTGCATTACTGGTAGCAAGCAAGTAGTCTCTTGCTAGTAGTTTCTTATTTTGCCTCGTTGAAAAAAAAGGCAAATAAGGAAAGAATTTTCTTCCTGAATCCCTGCATCTCCGAATTACTAGACTCCCAAACAGCTAAACTCCCAAAATCCTTACAGATAAAATAAACCTTGAAATATTTTGAAACCAGATCCAACCAGATTAGCAATCTCTAAATTTGCCAATCGAACTCCGAAGAAATTGGAAGCATCCTCAGCTGCGCAGGTGTAGAAATCCCCACCGAAATCCAATTTCTCACGGCTGATTTGAAACGTTAATTGGAAGCGCTTATCGTCGTTAGAACGCATGGCGGGTCAGTCGGTGTTAGTGTACACGGTCCGTACACGTACAGTGTAATCGCGATACCATCCTATTCTCTTATCGTGGCTGCCTTTCCTCTCGCTATCATCCTCGGTTAATTACTGTCCGCATAATTGTCACCTTCGCCGGGAAATGACTTGGCCGATTAGTTGGGAACTGCAGCACGCGAACGCCATTGAAATCGCGTCGGTGTATCATCGCCTTCTCTCGCTTCCGCCATATCTCCGGATAAATGGAAGCGGAATTATTATTAGTCGAATGAATGGACCTCGTCTTTTTTCCTCCCTTCTTTCTTCGCTGGAAAAATTGGCAATTTTCTTGAGCGAGCTATGCACGCTCGGGTATATCATCAGCGTTAGTTTTAAAGGATATTCAGGGATATGGAAATTTGGTAAAGTGCATCGAGAGAATTTTAGTCGGGATAACTGTTTACATTTCTAATCCGTCGGATGCGCTGCCACTTTGTAATCCGCGTTTTAGACTCTGAAAGGGCGAATGTAAATTGTCAGACCATGATTACACGGTTTACTCCTAGCGAGATTAAGACGATTAAAACCGTGCTGAAGAATCAGCTGCGTAAAGCGGCTCATAATTTTCCTCTCAACTTCATAATTTCTGAAATATTGGAAGATATTTTCGTGACAGATCCCGTATTAAATATTTCACGGTATTTTGTTTCGAAGCGTTTCCATTTACAGAAAACTCGAGAATATCAATATCCATTATCGTTGAAAAGCCCACTTAAATATTTGCCGAGCAATCGAGGAAGCTCCTTCCTGTCAGCAAGTTCTGCTCCGTTGGATCGATGCCCCGTAACTTGTCGTCGACTTCCTTACGGTTGGACGTGTATCGTCGCCACATGCACCGAGGAACAAGCAGATATCTATTTACACGATGCAAAATGCATCTCTCTCGTGTTGGGTCACGAAGTTTCGTGTCGTGCACGGAGAAGCTTTCTACCCGGAGATCCGGTCGAAAGGTTATTAGATTCTGATGGCCTGCCGCTTTCCGGACTCGTTACCCAACCGGCTTAAAGGGATTTAGGCAACCCGTCGAAACAAAGTTTCCCGGTGAACTTGGGAGTCGCAGGTATCGCGTCAGTCGTACGTCACCGAAGCTCTCGAAGCTCGTATAATTGGAGTTTCAAAGCGGGCTTCTCGAAAGGATGATTTATCTGCTCAACGGTGTTCGAGCAGTAGCCGATTCGTCATTAGCGAGATCTCGGATTATCATCGATTAAGTCCTCGAACTGATCCATGTGTTATTCATCGTCCGCCTATATTAAGCTCCACAAATTGAACTCTAATTAGCTCAAAAAATTATAGTATCAGTTTCGTAGCATCCGTAGAATTTTTTCGTAGACAGTCTCTGTGCCAGAACGTGACCGTTAAAAGGAAATCGTAATTAACGAGACCGTTTTTATGCAAAAGATAGGATTTGATTCCTTTGTTACGAGGCTGACTATTCAGACTTTTTTCTTCCTCCGTGATTATTCCTTTTGTGCGGATTTACGGGCAGGGATTTACGGTGATTACGATCCACTTCTTTCCGACTGATACATAACTGTTTCGAGAATTAGACTTTCATGCTCCTAGTAAATTCGGTGTCGAGTTAATGGAAGAGTGTCTACTTTCTGTACTTCCTTGGCATCAGGCTATAAAACGCCCGGTTTCACCCTTTTCCTACAGCTCCATCAGCCTCTGTCTCTTCAACGTGTTTTACAGCGAAGTTAGCTCTCCTCGGCTGATCTTTTCTTCTAATACCCTGTGTACACTCTCGTGATTTTTCGCACCCATGGGAGTCGTAAACTGACGAACTTCGATTCCCCAATATTTTCGCTGTAAAGACGTTTCGTTGTTAGAATATAGTCTAGTAAACTCAAGGCGGCGCCACTGGCGTTTGGCTACCATTTTGACGCTGCGAAAGAAATCCATGCAAATCAGAAATTTGCTTCTCACGCTTCATAATGTTTACTCTGTAATTTTACTTAAATTCTTTTATATCTTCAGTTCCTTTAAATATTATTCTAAGGCCCTACGACAGCAACCGAAGCATTCATAAAGAGTCATTTTGTCATCTACTGTGTTCCACATACCTTTGTTGCTGGTTAAACCTACCTTGCTCCTGTGCTTCGCAAATGATTGAAGAGTTCCTTCCTCTTAGGGCAAAGTACATTAAAAAGTAACACAAAGGAATGTAAGATGCGTGACTCCTCATACGCCTTCTTCGATCACAGTTGTAAAGTCCCGCAATTATCGTTAATGGAGGATCGAAGCGGACAACGGTACAAATAGAATTCATTTGGAACAAACGACGTTCGTGTGTGACGGAGAAAACGGTTCACGAAAGTTTTAAACGCGACGTAAAAATTTGTTCCGCTTGGTTCGATTCGCGTTAATTCCAGGGCGATTCGTTTTAGTACTTACCGTTTCTCCCTTCCTTTCGTTCAATCGGAAAACACAGTTTTCCACGCTGTTCCGTTCTCGACCCGATGGAAACCGGTGAATTTCAGCCGGGCTAAAGCTTCGTAAAAGATGCGCAGTTAGCCTTCATTTGGAATTCGTCCAATTCGTTCTCTTATTAAGAACCGACGCTACTTAAACTTTCAATTTCCGCTTTTCGGGAGTTCGCGAGTTAACGAACGAAAGGATGATTAGAAAAATTCGGTCGAAAAATAGGGGTTAAGCTTGTCACGAATCTGGCGCAAATTTTGTCTGGCAATCGCGATACCATTAAATATCGTGCAGCCTTCCTTGGAACGCTCGAGCCGTTAATTGACCGGTCGCGGGTCGGTCACGTAACCGGCTAATGAAAGTCGCAAGTTCTTCGAACGGTTAACGCGGCTGTAAAAGTTTCCATTAACGAGACGATCGATGAAATTCACCGCGGGCTGTCGAGTTTTTTTTTTATTTTTCAACCCACAGTCAAAGCGAATCCACCGAGTCGTTAAAGCTGTTTCTCGAAACACGCTGAATTGTAACGGCGAACCAGTTTACCTCGTTTCGAAGGTTGCAGCAGGAGTCCCAAGGAACGTATCGACGTGGCAGTAATGCAGCGTGAAAAGGTGTCACCGGTGTCAGTGCTTCTTTGAAGCTCGTTAGTTACTTATCAACGGCAAAGGTGGATAAAGGTTCATAGACGGGTCGGAATAAGTCGAAATGAAAGTAGCTTTAAAGCGAGGACGGCCTGAAAAAAGCCTGCCGCGTCTGTCTTCCGGGATCCCCTCGTTTTCGCGGGATGACCTCAAAGATGGAAATCGCGACAAAAGGAATCTTGGCTCGAAGAGTCCACGAATCCGTGAAAGCACCAGGGAACAGAGAGACGGTTGACTGTAGCTCGCAAAACTTCGCTGGAGACTTTCAACCTCTATTCTTTCAACGTTTTTATTTATTAAACATCGTAATGTTGTAGTATGTACAATAATATACCTATCTAGTCTAAACGATATCGCTGCGATTACAGATTCTTTCGTGGTTTTATTCTCCCTCTCTTTTCTTGCTTTAGCATCGTCGATTAAGAGCTACAGGCTTGCCGAGTGAGTCTACGACGCGCCGTTTTCGAACGTTTCATATTTTCATCCTCTGGTTTAGCGATCGTCCTCGAACGGCCGTCTCGCTGAACAGCGACACTTATTGTTTAGTTTCGCTTAGGTAGCTAGTCTGTGCGGTGATACGTCGCGATAACGCGTGCATCGAGTCAGAAAAAAGTCGATAGAGAGATTCCAAAGAGAGAGCCAGCTCATGCTGCGGTTTTCTTTTTTTATCCGTGCCGCTCCGATCGTTGTTCGCGTTTTAACGCGGTTTTTTTCCACGATTCACCACCAACGACATCACTTTTCCTTTCGAGCGAGGTAAAAGGCCGCGAACGCGGACAAAGTGGCCACAGCGAGGGCAAAGCTATTTGTGCACGGTCAGGGGAACGAGATCGAGGCTTGCGAGGACGACTTTCCAATCGAATTGCATCGACGAGAGCTGAATTCGATTCGCGACCGATTTGTTCAACTGGAACGAACGAAATCCGGAGTTTGTTTCGATGCATTTCCTTTCATTCTTCCTTTCGCCCTCTCGTTCTTCGACGTGCGTTTACCTCGTTACATCGCGTATATCGCGTGCTTTCTACCTGCAAAATAAACTATGCTACCACCGATGCAATCACCAAATTGAAAACGAATTGACGTAACAACTCAAAATTATCGCACCTCGTTGATTAATCAAAACTAATATTACAACTCCACATATTTTCAAACTAATCGCTGAATTGCATGTTGCAAAGGGACAAATTATATTTCTGCCTCTATCAGATCGACGGGTTTCAACCGGTGGTTGACGCAAATTAGTTTATTAATAGTGTTGATTTCATTCCGTAATTCGATAAGAGTACATTTGTTGTACTTCTTGAACTTTTGGCAGTATATTTTTTAAAGTAATTACGAAATGAAATATTGAAATTGAAAGCACTTTGTGCCATACGATTTATCAACCAAGACGTATCAAATTTACCGAGCCCATAAAAAACGCGTTCGAACGAGTGGACAAAACGTGATTACCTATGAAATAGCCGGGAGCGTTATTATCGATCACCAAAATAAACGAGTTTCGAACAAAATATCCGAGGCCGAGTTTCCCGCGAACGTAATTCGCGTCGCGAAATCGAATGTACGGTCAGCCGGTTAATGGACCGCGTCCTATCCGTTACACGTAGTTTCCGTCAAAAGGGGAAGAAAAATTCGCAAAGTTTTCTCAACCCCTTCTCTGCAATTATTCTCCTAAGTTTACGTCACGTTTCTCGTATCGATTCCATCTGGAAGTTTCGTCGAACGACTCTCTCTTGGACTCTCTGTACCGTCTTCGTCGACGCAAGTCCGAGGAAAGAATCGCCACCGTGGTGGTAAATAGGAACACAAGAGTGAAGGGAATTCGGTTGGTGTAGCGCAAGAAAAAGAATACTTTTTTCTACGCCCGATCCTGCCCTACCTGCGAGGATATCACATCGAAACAGACACACACACACACACAAATAGAAAGTGAAAATTGTCGTGTTCTCGCGTCGCGACCGAAGTGGATCCAACTCGGTGGCCCGACTGACCCTTCTCTCGTGGTGCTTACTGGTTGGTCTATAGCCTTTTTCACGGTGTGTCACGTACACGCAGGGAAGCGTTCGAAAGGAAGGAAAAATATACAAAGTAGTAAAAAGGTTTCTGGACTCACGAGGGAAATTCGTTTGAAACTCTTCGGACCACCGATTCGGAAACAACGACAAAGATTCGTGAGGGAAGGTCGATTACCTGCAAATCGCTGCGAGATCATCGCTCCATCGCATTCTCGCCATCTTTAAAATCTCCACATAAGCAAAAATAAAGCTTCTGAAATCGAAGTTCATGCTCGGTACACAGTTAAATAAACAGCACGGTTATTCAGCCTTACGTGTCTCCTAAGTGGAGGCATAAGGAAATGAACGACAACAGAAACGTTAACGAAATTCGGAACGATGATCCAGCGTTTAGTATTTCGAGCCACCTCGAATCCTGTCGACGAAGATTCCGCTTCATGGTTCGCGCGTCGCTCGTTCGGAGCCACTTCAACCGCGAAACTCGATTTTCCCGCGATAAACGCAATTACTAGATCCACCAGCACATCGGTTTCAGGTGAGAGAGAGAGTGTTTGGCGCGTGCACGCATTTACGCTCGCGTGTAACTATCATCACACCCGGCCACAATTTATAATACAGACGCTATGTACAAGTTTCGTGTTATCATCGTTGACGCTAACACCGAGAACAAACAATTCTAGGAAGCCTCGACATTATTGATTTTAGGTACATATTTGCTTTCCGCTGTAATACGTTTCGTTCGGAACTAGGAAAGGATCCCGAGTGATCACTGTTAGCAGAAGCCAAGGGATTTGCAGTTACGTCAACGAACAAATCGCTCTTAAAAATTGGGGCGAGCGCTATAGTCACGTTTCTCCAGAATACGGTTTTCCTTCGTCGTAAAGGGGCGGAAATTTTGACAATTTCGGGGACTTTTTCGAGAGGAAGCTTCATTGTTAACACCGTGTGATCGAACAGTCCAGTCACGTTTTATTTCTCACTGAATACTGTCCTGCAGTCGGGTTTCGACCGATCGTAAAGCGTGACGGTCGTTCCCGCGTTTACACCCCTCGTGAATCTGCTCCTTTCATCGGGGATCAAGCTTGTCATCGGAAAAACGAAACCGTACGAAATCGCTCTTTACGTTGCAATGTAACTAATTATCTTTCCTTTAAAATTGAACCCAATTCCCATCGAATTGTTCTCAATATTAGCGTCGACGTTCCTTAACTAAATGTTTTTAGAGATGCATCTCCGTCTGCATCCCCGAACACGTTTCTTAGGTTAAGATTGCCTCTAGATCGTAGAGTCGTTCGAAAAGATGTTCATAAACCGTCGAGACGATCGCTATAAACTCGTCCACAGAGGGGACCGGAAACGAGCCACGTGGAGCCCAAAACTCGCACGTCAAATTAACAGTTCGTTCGCGAACGATTCTATCGATCCTGGTAAACGGGTAGCGTGAACTCGTTGAACATACCCTGACAGACTTGAAAACTCCGCCTAACTGGCTTGCGGTTGTCGCACCTTTCGTTCGTTTACACCGACGATATGTACAAAATGATCAGGGACACCAATAGACAGCTCGAGGATAAGTTGGGTCCCGCAGTTCCGGTCTGCATCGCCTCTGGTCGTTCGCCTGGAACAAAATAGACACAAGTTCCACGTCTTGTCATACTTGGCTACAAATCTTCTACGTAATTTTCTACGCAGAAGTCCTGTCACATTATTATGTGACACAGTACGAATTTGTAGAGTATCGAGTAAACTTTTAAGCAGCGTATAATAGCGCGTAGAACGCTTTGTTGGGTGTTCTCTTGGCGACGTACTTCCAATAAATTAATATCGGAAGTTCTGGGATTCCAGGAAGTCAGGCTGCGGTGAGGGATCGAGGATCAAGAGCTCTTGATTGCATCCGGTCGAGTATGACGTACAGCTCTGTTCAAGAATCCCAATATGTGTTATCATACGCGCTTAATTTCTGCGCTGTCTGATGTTCTTCCCTTTGAGACGGTTCCGTAACCATCGTGGTTATCGTTCGAGACCGTAGGGAAATTTCTTGGTCACGAATTCACCCGATACCACGATAATCGTATTAATTATTAAAAGACGTTACGGCAATTAATTTGCGAGGCAAACTCGAAGCTTTCCCGAAACAACGTTAACCGTAGTTCGCTATTAATCGTATGAAATGAAAAATGAAAGGATTAAGCAGAACGTCACATTTTTCTCCTCCGAATCTCTGGTCGCGAAACTTTTCAATGCATCGCTGCGTTACGGTTGCCTGAGCTTAAAGAAGCGAGCAGCTTCCCCAGCGAGAAAAATAAGTTTTTTCGCGAAAGATGGGACATTCCGGAGAGAAAAGTTGCCAGGATTGTTTGCGTTGCGAGCAGAAAATATATCTGGTCGTATAAAGAGTCGTCTAAATCGTTCGTTCCGGCGCAACCGCATCGAGGGCGGCTGTAATCAAAACGCGAGACATCTGTCTAAAGAGAACACAGAACTAAGATTTTTCATTCGCTACTTTTTCATTTGTTCGGCTGCTTAGCTTGAAATAACACGTAATTCTTTACCCTGATGCAGTTAGAAGCGTGAGAAATTCAGGTTACACTTTTTACGTAGCTTTCCTAACCCGGCGAGCAATGTTTCGAAAGACTGAAAATGGTGTCAATGTTCTCGTTAAACGTCGGCCAAGTGTTTTATGCCGAGCCGCAATTTCCGCTCGATTTCGATCTGATCCGCGACTTTCTAAGAATCTCGGAACCGACGCAATTTGCAGAAAATTCTGAAACCTTCTTGCGACGATTTCTCGAGTTGCAAAATTACGGTAAACATCGGGCAGAAAACGTTTTGGAAAAATAGCGAGCAAAATCGCGAAAGATCTTGTTTAAAATTGCATTAACGAAACTATTTCCCCGGGGAGGGTCCGTATCGGTGAACAGCAGGGCAAACATTCTGCTCGCGTTGAAACTCGTTTTCTCTTGCGGTGCTCGCGAGACCGTCGCTGAATAAACATGCAAAATTTGGCGACCGCGTAATTGCCAAGTTCTGCGATAGGCCGATTGCGAGGCTTCCCAGATGTCTGCGAAAATCTGGGAGAGGACAGCTGCACGCGATAACGCCCGAAATTTTCCCATCTGCCGCGAAACAAGCGCCGGTATTCGCGGCAAAATTAACGAGTTAAGAAAACACCGTTCCGAGGATTTGCACTGTCTGATTCTTCGGAATTGTACAACTTTTGGAATTTGTGAGGGAATTAAATATTTTGGATCACGTAAACTCACCATTCAGGACATGAACTTTGATGGAAGCCGTATTGGCGTTGCTGGGTTTGCAGTTATATTCCCCAGAGTCCGAGGGTTGCGCTATCTGAATAAGGAGCCAAGAGGTGGTAACGTCGCCACCCTTTTCAGTTATCACCGAGATGCCGCCCCTGGGACTATCGTAGCTCAGCACTTGTTCATAGTAGTACCAAAAGATGTAGGCTGGTGGTTCCGAGCTGAAGTGTATGACACACGTCAAGTTTATCGTGCTTCCAGCGCCCACGTATAGATCTGGTCCTCCAAGTATCGTTGCTGTCGGTACTGCGATATAAAAACGACTCCATTTTGTCTGCTTCCTTCTACTCGCGTAGTCATCTTCAAATTACAAGATACTCGAAGAGAAAAGTGCTTTAGCGATCCGCGTTAACGAGTCGAAGCTTTTTGGCCAAGGTCAGTCTAATTGAAATAACGAGGTCGACGTTCTCGAGAATTAGAGTCTCTCGACGTTAACGATTCGTCGATAATTCGCTCGATAAGTTTGGATCATTACGAATCGAGAGTCATCATAATCAGTACACAGATAATTTGTAGATGCTACGCGTGTACACTGGTGGAAATTATTTCTACAAGGGGAGGTCTTGACATCACATGAAACAGGATTATAAAGATCACAATGTGTAATTTCGCAAAGTTACAACGCTCGGAGAAGATATTCAAGTTTAAGGGGTAAAATCACTCTAGGATTTTTAAAAAGTCCACTTTTTTTTGGCTAAAACGATACTTTAGTCTTAAGAACAGAATACTCATACTCATACATAACGAGAACTCCGTCCTGACGTGCGAGTGTTTTCGCCGATCGGCTCTGTCGCCTCCATTTTGTACGAAAATGACAATAAAAAATTATTTTGTCATAGTTCAATATGTGTTAAATAAACCTTCTGCAAAGAAACTCTTTTCCGTTTGTCGTTCGTCAAAAATAAATTGTCAAATTTAGGTCTTTTTTCCGGGCTGGTTTTACCCCTTAGATGTGAAAATGTTTAAATCAACTAAGCCCTGAAAAGCGACCTCCCTTTGTGAATTCGATGGTATCCGATTACGGAACGAAGTATAATCGAGGTAGTCGGTGAATAAAAACTTACCAACGACGTTTAAACGAAATTGGTGCGACTTGACGGGAATAGTGGAGATCTGACACTCGTAGAGGCCCTGGTCTCTCTCCTGTGCCCACTTTATGCAAAGAGTCCATTCAGACCACTCGCTATTTTGGTTTGAATTTTTTCCTGGAATCGCTTGGAATCGCTGATCGCTCGTGTAGGTGTACGACCCTGCCGTTAAAATGTGAATGTCTCTGTTCCTGACCCAGGATACCTTTGCAAACGGAATTTCAAAGAGGAGTCAATGATGGTTATCGGAGCAGATCGGTCGGAGTGCTTTGAATAGTCACCACCGATCGTTAAAGTGAATTCGATGATGACGTGATACGAAGTACGTTCGTTTCGAAATCTTTTTATTCACGAATACAAAATTCTATTCGAATCTTTAATTTCCGCATTAACCTTTTTCGTGCTGAGGAGGAGGTTTAATAAAAAATTAGAAGATTTTAACTGAAGCATAGATCACTTTAGAGGTACACATTGTAGGAAGTAAGACGCTGAATATTGCAGGCGATAAAACGAAGCCTCGAGCCCGGGAACTTTGGGAAATCTTTGAAAATTCTGGGAGCACGGCAGCCCCAACGTCGTCTCGCAATCAATATTTCAGATTCGTCTGTTCGTTCTGTAGCATTAAATATTTCAAGACGCGAAGGCGCGAGACGCGCAACTCGGAGAGGGTCGACGCTTCCGTCATCCGCAAACAGTCTTCGCCGCCGCGTATAATACATGATTTGTTTCGACGAAGGAGACATTTAAACTTCGGCTACGGTGAAGTTTGACGTCTTCGGGGACGACGGTAATTTCATCAGCCGCGTATGTGCTCTCACGGAGGTCCTGCCTCTTACCGGCAACGAGAAAGTAATCTCGTAAACTCTGCGGAAGTCTGCCTCGGCAAAATAGCTTCCGTCGTTGCGATTTTCCCGAGATCCGATACGAGAACACCGAACGTGGATTCGACTGTTTCCGCGTTTACGGCCAGCCAAAAATCACCGAGCCGTAAACCGAAACTTTCTATTCGGCATCAAAAACTTTTGGATCAAATAAAACACAAAATCGCCCTCCCTCGTAATCATCGTTACTTATATTAGTCGAAACAATTTCAAATTTTATTTCGTTCGCACTGATTAAAATGCAATGACACTTTTGGAAAGATATTTTTGGCTCGTTCGCGCTTTAAAGTTCAAGGATTCTTCGAGCATCGAAGTTTTACATTAACCTGGAGTATCTTTGACCTCGTCGGAGTAGCTGGCCCTCTTGTTACAACTTCATCGCTCCACAGAAAGCTGATGTCTGCAAGAAAACTTGAGTCGTAAAGCGAGGCTGAAAACGCAGACGTAAACAATGAATTTTATTGGTTCGTCGACCCGCTCGACCACTCCTCCACGTCATTGACGTCCATTTTTATTCACAACGCCTTTGAAAACCCTTAAAAAATTGGCACGAATTTCAAAGTATACTGAACTCTATCAATATCGTAATATAATATAAACTTGCATTCATTGCATTTATATGAACTTGTCTTCGTTGCATTTATATAAACTTGTCTTCATTGCATTTATATAAACTTGTCTTCATTGCATTTATATAAACTTGTATTTAACCTAACCTAACCTAGTTCAGAACCTAAAATCACAGTAGTTTTCAAGTAACCAAATTATGAACTCACGCAATGAAAATGCAGAACAAGAATAAAATTCAGAATAAGTTAAAATGAAGTTTGGTTAAATAATTTGAAAGAGGCAAAAGGGACGTGCGTGCCATTTTGGAGAACGTCGTGAAAAGCGATTCTGCATCTCGCGGTAATTCATCCGTCGATGTAAAGCGGAAAGGCAGCTGTCTCCTCCAATAGCTTTGAAGCTCCGCGTATGAGCTTGGCACCACTTAACATATTTACCCGAAGAAGTTTACGCGTCTGGCGAGCTGCCGTCGTTACTGTAGAGGAACAGCGTCAGTTGAACGCTTCCGAACTTACCCATCAAGATCGTACGAGATGTTATGTGTCTCGAAGGAAAGCGAAACTGCGGGGAACACGTCCAGAATGATGAATACCGAACATTAAGCAAACCTACGAACGTTATTGTCCGTTAAACTCGCCAAACAGCAGTTACGTTTCCGGATTTTCGTTCCTTTTATTAACGGGCTTTTAGCCCGGTACTAAATTTCTTGGGAGTGAATTGCGAAAATGAAGAGAACGATAAAAGCGATCGGATAGCAGAATTCGTAGATTTCGAGATAAAACGGCGAGGGCCAAAAGTGTCGAGATAACATGCAAAGTGGCGGGAATCACATATCGAGGAAATCCGTGTGACCCAGTAATTCGGACGTCGAGCGAATGGAATTCCACGGCTGACGCGTAGCGACGAATGAAATTAAGGTACGCCGGCCCTCTCCCGACTGTATAATGAATTCACTTAATACGGTTTACACACTCCCAAATAGCGAAATTGAACGGCCCTGTTCCCACGCTACGACCTCGTATCTACGCGTCGCCATCTCTCGTTCGTTTTATCGCGATCTCGTGTCCGTGTGTCGCGTCCTCTTTTCTTCCGGCGTAATCCTATTTGCACTTTGGCTACTAATCGAGCCCGAGTTTGCCCACGGGCTTTTCACAGCCGTGGAACTTGGTCGAGAAGTTGGACGAATATTTAATGACCAAAGAACATGGCCCTCGATCGAAAGAACTCTTGGGATTTTCTTAGGATTGTAATTATCGTACCTACATATCTATTTCGTTCCATTTTAACCTCTTCCCGAGTCTGACTCATAACGCGCTTACTACTCAAGTGTGACTTTACTCAAATTTTGAATACTCCTTAACTTGAAATTTAGGTGCAGCCATAAGTTGCATTATCACATGTTAATTTTCTTCGTTCGGTTTAATGTTATAAATTAGTCAGTCTTGACTGACGCATCTGATGAATAAATGGCACAAGAAGGAATTAAAATGTTTAACAGATTCTTGTTTTACAAGAATAGTGAAAGTTATGAAAATTTTGGAAGGACGATAACAAAGATCAACAAAAAAAGATGGAAGATCAGATAATATGGAAAGGTGATTGCAAAGTCATAATTCTGGAGCACAACGCTAGGCATTACTTTTCGATCGACCAATACCTGTAACGACAGTATCCCCGCGACCTGCGGTAAAATTGAGTTTCCAGTTGCCTTGAAGGTCGATTAACGTCCAATCGAGCTCGAGCAACTCGATTATTTCCTGTAAATCGCTTTTCCTAAGGTCTTTACCAGGGCCCGGATTTCCCGTCTCTTTCCAGCGAACGGCGCGCCGTTCTTTGTCGTAATTACCTTGCCAGACCACAAATTTGTCGAAACTCCATGGAATAACGTGGATAGCAAGAGGCGAAAGCATTTTTCTGATACATTAAGCTGTCACGGGCAATTTTTCGTTATTCCTGGCCGAGTTGAAAAGCAGCTCTCGAATGGAAATAAACGCTCGGGGACGATTGGAAATTTCTCGATAGGTAGAAATTTTCCTGGCTGTTAGATCGGATAATACGCGAGCGGAGGGAAAAAATCGTGAGAAGCCTTACGGTCTTGTCGCCCAGGTTGCGCACTCTGCACGTCAGAAAGGCGTCCTTTCCAATCAGGGCTGTCACGTTGCTGTTTTGCGAATGGTCGAACGTCGGTTCCGCTTTCAGCTTCACGCTCGAAGGGTCCACCAGCAATTGGTTTCGTGGTCTGCTTTGGCTGCCGTGTCGGTCCATGTCTATCGTGCGATCTCCTAAACTGAGTGTATCTGCAACAGAAAGGAAAAATCCGCCGATCAAACGGATTGCCGGCAAAGTGAAAGCTCGTCGTTGAACGACGTTGATCTGGGTAGGTGTTACGAAACTGTCGGCTGGAGGCAAGCCGTGAATCCATCATTTCTCGGGACCGATCGACGAAAATCGCTTTTATTACAGTCACTTTGGGTGTTTAGAGAGCTTTCAGCAGAGCTGTCGTTCAAATCGAATAGATTGTCATCGTGTAATACTTTATTTACGAATCGCTTGCTCCGAATGTTTGAACTTGAATGCAAATGGGAGAAAAGTCGTGCTAAAATTCGAACGATGGAGTCGAAAAATAATTTCCGACGGTGATGCGTTCGACAGAATGGTCCGCGTTGCGGGAATAATTGATTTTAAGTGGACACGGCTTCGCATTTATTTCAGTTATATTACGTTTATCGGGACCGACAGACTAAATTGCTGCGCTATTGCGCCATTGTCGAAAATCAGATTTAACATTCGAACAAAGCATTAAATTTCGCTGTTCTTTCGCGATCGCCATGTTTATGAATTCGCCGATAGCGCCCCCCTTTAACTGCCTTCCGTTAGAACCGTAACTAATATCATTACAGGCGTCGAATATTAATGTTCCTTTATTTCGTTATTTGCATGGTAATCGTTATTACCGTCATTCTCTGTATTCAATTGCGAATTTCGGATAATGAACCGTGATGTACATCCAGAGATTCTCCATAAAAGATTCAACACTTTTTAACACCAAAACCTAAGTAACCTAACCTAACTTAACCGGTCAAATGACTGTTCTACAAGATTTTTATTATAAATGACACAATTTGTGAATTCATTCTTCTGATATCTGCATTGATCTTCAAGATGAAGAATTAATGTGTGTATTAACATATGTTCCGTGGTTTGTTTATTTATTTTTTAATTTCAAATTAAGTACCCATTATACGTCGGTAGGTTTAGTGTTAACAACTTTTAATATTAAAACTACCAAACCGGTCAAATAACCGCTTTACAAGTTTCTTATTATAAGGTACACATTTTGTTAAAATACATTCCTTGAAATCAGAACTGATTTTCATCAAGATAAAGAATTAATATGTGTACTAATTTATGTTTCGTGATTTGTTCATTTATTTTTAATTTCAAAATAAATACACATTATATGCCGGTAGGTTTAGCGTTAAAAAATTTAACTACTTTAAAAATAATTTTAAAAAGTAGATTGTTCGAATTTGGAAAAAGCTAACCCCGCAAAACTTCTACGTTTCAAACTAGGTGAAAATCGTAAGAATATAAGAAAATGGGACAAGAACTGTTGCCCGTATCTAAGCCAAATAAATTGCCGGGGAAGTAAGAACGGGGGAAGCAGTTTAAATAGGGAAGCTCATACAAAGTGGGTATAGTTCACATCTCGGAACTATAATAGCCACGGGACGTATAGCCAGAAGGAGATTGGACGAAATTAGATTAGATCAGAGCTCATTACACTTCGGCTTAAGAGTGAATTAGGTAGAGAATGGGCTGTCGGGGTTGCGACGGAGAAAACTCCCCTAGCTAGAGGGGTTGCATCGTCCACTGTTATTTTTCCCGTAATCCATCACTGGCCGGGGGGAAAAAGCAGCAGAAGAAGGCCGATATAGTCGTTTGGTCGTTTGAAACGCGTATGCAGTAACATGCGTTATTAATATACATGAATAGGCGGCCCTCGACTTGTTCCTTCAACTATGCTAATCTCCTGCGATACGAGTGAAGTTTTTCGATCGTTTCGCATTAAAACCGGTCACGCGCTGTCTACATATTACGTAAACTGATCTATATCTTCACACCCGTAGATTTTATAATTTTAAGAACTTCTGGTCCGAACAGAATTTTTCTGAGGCAAAAAAAAGTTCGAGGAAAATTTGTTTGGTTTTCGAAAAGTGGATATTAAGAGTTATGGCTAAAGGTATCGATCGGGGAAGTTTGCAAACGCTCATCGTGGTAGAGACGTCGTAAATACGGTGCGAGGTATTACCAACTACAAGAATTTTGCCCCGTTAATTGCACTTTGTCTCCGTTCTTGCCGGCGTTGCTGTTATTTAAGCCCGGCGAGCGATCAGGGGAATAGCAATATAATAAATCCGTCGCGTGCGTAGTAGGGGGCACGTTTCTAGATATTTTATGCGCTTTACCACGCGCTCGCTTTAATTAATTCTGTAGCAACAACTAAGCTCGGAGAGCTTATAACGAGCTTTTCCCTGCACTCTGGGGACTCCTCTTTGGCTTTCCTAGAAATCTCTCTGCTCCTCTTTCTCCTCCTTTATCCCGTATATCCTGTTTTCGCGCATCGACCTGCCGGATGTGTGTCAGCGACGCGTTATGCTGCTGCTTTCTGCTTTATTCGGCGCTCGTTAGACGTCCCGTTTAAACGAACCATCTTGATTCTTAATTAAGGAAGACGCGAAGCTCGTAACCGAACTGGAAAATAAGGTTTTTCGTTGTGCTCGTTTTTTTCGCGAAACGAATCGAGCGATCAGTATTCATGGAACAGCATGGACCGGTTACATTTCGCTGCCGAGGGTTTTTAGGTCGCGGTAAAGAACGTGGATTTACTTCCAGCCACGTATAATTTACTCGAAATGCTTCCATTTATCTCGATGGACGCGCAGTAAATAGACTTTATTCTAAAAGCTCATCAATATTTATAGACACGCGATAGCTGTACAACGTTATGGCCTATCGAAGTGTGTCAGGGAAGTCGAGCTATAAGGTAAACAAACATCTTTTCGTTTTATGGAGAGAATTATAACGTAGGAAGTTCTCGACGCGAGAATATAATCGATACACGTGTTTTACGATGACAGGAGTATTCTTCGGAACAAGCTTTCGAAAGGATCGTTATTGATTGTCTGAACGATCTAGAGTAATCGTTTCGAACGCTTTAGACACTGTTTACCTCGGGATTTAATGGCGGAAGAAGCGTACCGAAATTATAGCGAAAATTCGAAACTGAATTGCAACGGTAATCGTCGCAGTAGAAATAGACGAATATAGTCAGACGCGTTGAAAGTTTAATTATCGAGTATAAATTCAATATTCATTGTTCGGACGTTTCGTAAAACCTCGAAAGCAGACACTCTTTCAGCATAATCAATATCACTAAAGGCCGAGTACCAGCTTCAGCTCGGTCATAAAAAACTTCTCGCAACGTCGAAACAATATTTTATCGAAACAAGCAGCGTTTCCAGAAGCTCTCAAAGTAAGTTCGCCCGTGAGATGACCATAATTGCCAAGATGATTGAACGCGGTTACCGTCGTCTATCATCGGTAAATCGTGCCTAATGAAAAATAATGACGGATCTCGGAAGTTTCAGCCGAGTGAAAATAAAATTACTCCCCAACGGCATCCGTGATAAAATGCAATGACAATTTTCATTGACTTATGGCCGACTGGTCGTGCGATAAATTGCGACCCATTCATTTTCACTCAGGTGAGAAAAAGCCGGATTCGTCCGTTCTGTCCTTTTCACCCTGACTTCTGGTAATTGGAGCGGTCGTTTGACGCGGATGGTAACTCGCGTTATGACAACGGAGTCCGAGTCGTTGGTTACGACCACTGTACTCGGTGCAATTGCATTCTCTCCTCTGTCCTATTATGATGCCAGACGGCCATCATTGTCATGATCCACATACAGCTGCCTTGGAATTCCAGCTATTTCAGTTAGCGAGTCAAGCTTTCATCCGCTTGATATCAACTGTCGCAACTGCTTATCTAATTGTGTGTTCCGGTGTTCAAAGCATGGGCTGACCGATAAACAGGAAATATCAAATAGCAACTTTGATAAGAGTTAATAGCTACTACTTTTAGAGACTGATACTATTAGGAGCTATTATCTGGGTTGCAAACTAATAATTTGCAATTTTTACAGACTTTCAAGAAGTACTAAATGCTAATCTCATATAATGTAGTCATATGTAGCCATATGTGGCGTAACGAATGTTAAGAGGATTTTCATTTAGTACAAATAGGATATGTCAAATAGTACAACTCAACTAATAGACTGCAATTTTTAGAGGCTACCAAGCAGTACCAAATGTTATAGTAGTCTCATAGATACCCCCACATATGATCACATATGGTGCAACGAATGTTAACAGAATTTTCATTTAGTACAAATAGGATATGTCAAATAGTGCAACTCAACTAATAGACTGCAATTTTCAGAGGCTACCAAGCAGTAGTAAATTTTATAGTCTTATAGATACCCCCACATATGATCACATATGGTGCAACGAATGTTGACAGAATTTTTATTTAGTACAAATAGGATATGTCAAATCGTACAACTCAACTAATAGACTGCAATTTTTACAGGCTACCAAGCAGTATCAAATTTTATAGTCTCATAGATACCTCCACATATGATCACATATGGTGCAACGAATGTTAACAGAATTTTCATTTAGTACAAATAGGATATGTCAAATAGTACAACTCAACTAATAGACTGCAATTTTTAGAGGCAACCAAGCAGTACCAAATTTTATAGTCTCATAGATACCTCCACATATGATCACATATGGTGCAACGAATGTTAACAAAATTTTCATTTACTACAAACAGGATATGTCAAATAGTGCAACTCAACTAATAGACTGCAATTTTTAGAGGCAACCAAGCAGTACCAAATGTTATAGTCTCATAGATACTCCCACATATGATCACATATGGTGCAATGAACGTTAACAAAATTTTTATTCAGAACAAATAGAAAATATCGAATAGTGTAACTCAACTAATAAGCTGTAACTTTTAGAGATTGCCAAGGAGTACCAAATGTTACAGTCTCATATACATATACATCCATATGTGATCACATATGGTGTGACGTATGTTAACAGGATTTTCATTCACTACAAATAGAAAATATCAAATAGTGTAACTCAACTAATAAGCTGCAACTTTTAGAGACTGCCAAGCAGTACCAAATATTACAGTCTCATATACATATACATCCAT